GTGCTTCTTCCAAAGTATGAATAAAAAATTAACCATATAATATTACAAGTTCAAATGACCACCTAATCCTTTTTGGTAAATGTAATTATCACACACACACACACACACACACACACACACACACACACACACACACACACACACACACACACACACACACACACAGTAGAGGTCAGATACTGTGTGTATACTCTTAAAAAGTTTGAAAACCCACCAAGGTTAAAGGCACTTTTTTAAACCTTATTTTCATTTTGTGTAGATCATTGTTTGTTCGTTCGTTGTTTGTTGTTAGTTTAGCACATGCATAACCAACTAACTAGATGGGGTCACTGTGCCAAACAAGGACACTGATTTATAAAAGTCTTCATTTAACAATCATTTCCACTGGACCAGGATGTATCATACACACTTACTGCACTATTTTCAACTTATTCGTAGTCATAATGTTTCACTGTTAAATTATAGTTAACCTCAACAGGTTCACATGAATTTCCCAGTAATATACTTCCCAGCATGCCATTATTTTTAATCAGAGCTTTTTAGGATATGTTATAACTTTGTTAGGTTAACTGGCGTAGGTGTGAATGTGAGCATGAATGTTTAGGTTTAGCTTAACAACAGAAACCAGCACCAGAGAGAAGCTGTAATTATTCAGTGTGCAGCAGGATAGCTTCTATATTTAGTTGTTTAGATACAGTACCCAACAACTTGATTAGGCACCCAGTGTGAGGTTAATGCCACAGCTGCCCTAAGTTGCTCTATAACATGAGTAAACACTTTCCTAAGGAGTTCTTTATGTTTAAAACAAGACCCGAGTTCAGTGAAGTCGATAATTTTGAGTTTTAAACAGGTTTTTGACAGATTACTAAAATATTTGTTTGTTTGTCTAGCTGCATTATGTAACCATTTGCTATGTGTTTTATGAACATATAAAGGTCAGCTCTTCTTTGTGAAGAAAAATTGAGCACTTTGTTGATTTTTATATTCTAAGCAACTTTTGGACATTTTGGACTTTGAACACAAGAGACTGATAGAAGCATGATACAGACAATCAGCATCTTCACTGTCACTGTGGATGGGTTAACCTTTTATTCCATACTAGTAGTAGTAGCAAGTATCACTTGTCAGTTTATAGACCCAGTGCATTGGTAAAATTGTTCTTAAAGCTGCACTAATTGAAACTGTCATATTTACAATGAAGCTTAAATAAAATATAAGAGGTTTTGCTTGTAGTAACAGGCATAATAGGAAAATTGATTCATGTGAAAACAACAACATTGGTGATTTTTCAATAGTACTATTCACTTTGAATGATTAACACAGTTACTAATTATACTGCTATAGTACCAACAAAAAATAAAAAGGATATCATAACAACAAGTCTTTCTTTTATTATTCCCTATCAGAAAAAAGAGTGACAATCAATTAATTATAGGTGCAATATTGACATATTTATTCATTTCAGGCCCATCTGAAAATTATGTTCATTTAACTGTTTTTGAAAAAAATCGCTCATGGTGTGTTGTCAATAACCCAGTTAATCCACTGAATATAGCTCCTGACTCTGGTGTAGACACCAGGGTAGTACTTATTTCCACAGCCAATACCCCAGGAGACAATGCCCTCAAAGTAGCCATTGCAGACAAGGGGGCCCCCGGAGTCGCCCTGTGGAGTACCACAACAAATCAGGATTGTTTTTTGATAATAGAGCATTTCACATTCACCCTTAAATGGAAAATGTTAAATATTATTAAAATGACACTGAAATTATATGTAAATCATCACTGGTTAAAATATATTTTATAGCATATATAACAGGTGTCATTTTGCCTATAAATTTAAGAGGAAATATTCATTTAAAAATAGTATTACTCTACAAAATGCAGTTGCTAAGTAGTAATTAAGCATACCACAAACACAAAATAAATCATGTTTTCCATGAATGTATACCTGGCAAGAGTCCTTTCCCCCGTATGGAGATCCAGCACAAAGCATACCTGGTTTGATCCTGCCCCAGTAATACCAAGTGCAGTAAGGTATTTCTCTTACATCCACAGCACGTAGCACAGGGGAGAGGGTGTAACTGTAAACCTGTGTCACTCCCCAGCCACTCACTATGCAGGTGCCACTAAAGGGAGGGGTACCTTCATCAGGTATCAGAACTGGCTGAACATAAGCATTCAGCTGTGCTGGTCTGCTAAGCTGTAACACAAACCAAAGTTAGGGTGGTACCATTGTGAGATCACATTTTTTGTAGCTAAGTACAAGTCCTACTTACCTTAATAAGCATGATGTCATTCTCATATGTCCTGAAATTATAATTGTGTACATATATCTTTGAGACATTGAAGATCTGTTCAAATCCCTCTGTTTTGATCAGGCTGTGCTCACATAGCACAACCCTCATAAAATTACTCCTGTTAAACAGAAAGAGACAAAACGAAATGAGAATTTCACATATGTTCTTTCAAAACAGACCTTTTTCCATCAAAAATTATTAAACATTTTCATTAATGTTTATTAGTAAAGCTGCAATCTTGCTGTATGGTGTCAGTACTTACGGTCTCCAGCAGTGGGCAGCAGATACCACCCACTCTGGGTGAACTAGCGTGGCTCCACAATAGTGATCCCCGACCTCAGTCTGAAGGGATGCCTGGTATTTGATAGAGTATGGTTCGACCTCTTGACCCCCGATGATCCTTCCTGTATTCTCTTTCTCTGTGACGAAAGACAGAGCGAATCAGACAATTTGTCTCTATATTTTACGTTCTTTTGGTTTACAACAAAAAAGATAGATTGTCAGGGTAATGTGCCTTAACAAAAAAAAAAAAAAAAAAGCAGAATATTCTAGTAAGTTTCTTAACTTAAAGAAGTCTAGTTGTTTTCGTTCCAAGCTCCTTATAATATTCCAGTTCTGTATTCATTTCTACAGTATTGTCTGGCTTCATAAACTGAGTCAGACAGCAGTATTACAGCCACGTCACAGAAAATTTCTCCTGATCGACTAACATGTCTGTTTTTGTCAGCTGTTTTAAAGTCTTTGTGTATTAGTCTTTAGATCTAAACATTGAGACTAGAATTTCATATCCTTTGCTAAGTGTCTTGGAATGAAAAATTCAAAGATATAACTCACGTGAATTTACTGAAAAAGACAAAAGAAGCAGCACAGTAGTGATTGCCACAGCAGCCATATTGTAATTGATACCTGTAACACAGAACAACGACAGCTAGCAGCTTCTATATACATAAATTACTGTCATTTTAATTGCTCGTGCTAATGAACTATTAATTATTTGCTTAGTTTTGCTTAATTTGGTTATTTTGCTTTGTTTAAAAACTGTATCGCAACAATTACAGGATCAACAATATCTTCAAAAGCACTAAATGACCATTTAATTCAATTCTTTTGAACAATGAGCTTTTATTTTTAAAATATAGTGAGACTGTGAATTATTTTTAGACAGTTGAACATTAATTACAATTTCACTAAAAAGGGTTAAAATAAAAATTTGCTTACCTGAAAGTCTAGACACAGGAAGCTTCAGAGTATCTCCAAATGATGAGACCAATGCTCTCCTCTTTCTTTTTATAGTGTAACTATATCCTTGTCAAGATCTTTTGTTTAAATTATCTTTTCGTCTTGTTGTGTTCTGTAACCATCTCACGCTCCTACAATGAAACTGACCTACAACCTGACAAAGCTAGGGTGTTCTCTTGTATTATGCCCATTTCTAAGCTCAAGTTTTATACTTGCAGTTTTTAGGTTGGCAACGCCTCTACAGGATCAACAATATCTTCAACAGTTATTTCTCTATTAAATGTTGATAATGTTTTTAATGAGATGAAATTAGATTGCAATAGTTTCCACGATTATGTAGGATATAAAATAATAAAGTTAGAAAAGTCACACTGGCAAGATTAACTTCATTTCAAAACTAAAAAAACACAAAAGACAGAAGCACTTCCGGTTTCTATGATTCATTTTATGAAAATCTAAAAAAAATCAGAATCTTATTTAAACATCTAAAAATTTCAAATGTATTAGTTGAGATTTAAATGAAATAACTGGCCATCACAGACAATGATAAACAGTTTACTGGCTAAGAGTACATTGCTAAACTCTGCACTGTAAAAACTGTGACTAGAGGTTACTTAAAAAAGTTATGGCAACAAAGTGACACTTGAAATAATTAAGTAGATTTTAATTTCAAAAGATTTATGTAAAATGTAGAGAAAATGTTAATTAATTTCAAATAGAAAACAAAAGTAGATATTAATAGAATTAAACTGTAAATGTGTTGGATTTAGGGTCAAAATCTCAAACTGAAGGTTGAAATTGCCCAACTTTACCAAAAAAAAAAATTGATATGAAATAAGTCTCTGAGAAAAATTACTTTGAATTTACTAACTATCTGGCAAAGGTTTAGTAAAAACTTCCTAAAATAGCCATTATAAAGAAATGAAATCTTGTTTTTTCAGTAAAACTCAAATTGGATTCAATAATTTTCCAAATAAACCTTAAAAATAATGACTGAATAATAAGAGAAAATGAAATGAATTTTACTTATTTTCTGAGTAAAATGAATCAATTTCACAAAGAAAACATCAAAACAGTAATTTGTTTTATTGTGGAAAATAAAACACAGTAATTTATAATATAACATTTTTCTGCTCGTATACACTGAATTCTCATCAACAATCTCCTGATCTCCTAAATACATTCCACTGCTGTAAATTTGTTTTAGTGTCATAAACAGTTTATCACACAGCTTTGTGTACAGAGCAACAGCAACATAAACTGCATGAATGTAAACCAGTTTTGTAAAAAAGAAATTAATCTTTAGATTAGACTGTAATATCAACATGAACCTGAAATTTGAATATCCTTTACCGTTTCCTTTATCTCTGTTACTTATTTATGATTGACAAACAAAAACTTTAGTTAGTCAATCTTTTGTTAAATTGAATCACTCAATATAATTGTAGAACAAAGGTTTTTCACTCATGTACATGGAATATCAATAATGTAAATCAACCTTTTATCCCAATTTGGATGTTTAACCTGAGAAAATCTAAGACACATGTAAGAGGAAGTAACATTTCTACAGCTACAGGACTGCACCTCTGTTAAATTTTAAAGTTGTTTTAAACTAATATTTTATTGTAACATACACTATAAACAAAGAAAAGCTTCACTAGTGATTCCTCCAATTTGCTGCCTTTCAAACAGAATATTCCTAAGAAACTTGTAGGTAATAAAAAACAAACATTAAAATGAAGAGCACAAATACAGCCTGACACATTGCAGGTCATTTGGGTAAGATATGAATAAGATGAAATTAACTTGAAAACTGAAAAGATAGCTGCATCTAAAAAAGACAAACCAAAGGTTTTCAGTGAGCTTACTTCCCTTTCATTCTTTCAGAGTCCTCGTTTAAGCCAATAACTTGTTCTTGAGGCTGTTCACTTTTGGTGAGAGCTTAGCACAATCCAGTTCAAGGAAAAGTTTCTGGAATACTTCCAAGGTGTATTTTAGCTCTTTGGGATAGGCAAGATCGACTGCATATGTCAATCCAACCAGCATTGCGCATGCTCTTGGAAAATTGCCCAGAGCAGGCATAACTCTCACACCCTCCAGCACAATGCCAATGTCATCCTCCTCAGATCCAACAGCCTTGATTTTGTAGATTTTCATCCTCTGTTCAGAAAGACCTTGTGACACACCATCCTCATCAGCATCCTGAAACAACAAACACATGGGTTTTCTGACTGTAGTTGCACACATGAAATATTTCCTGGACACATCCTGTAGCTGAATGACAAATAAAACATGATAATGCCTCAAATTATTTGAAACTTGACAAACGCATATGAATAACAAAAACAGAATAATGTTTCTACTTCAACACTTACACTGTACTCTTTGATCAGTTGATCAATGGACTCCCCAAGGTACACCATCAAGCACTGAATAACCAGATTTCTGGTTATGTTATTGCTAGGATTGCTTGGTGACTGAAAATGAGCAAGAATTCCAAAAATTACCATCAGATAAGTGACCATTTATTAAGACAAAACTGTGAGAATTGGCAGTATTAAAAAAAACTGTTAAATATCAAATTATCACCACATGGAGCATTATGTGCGATAATTAGCTGATGTTAATGCACATGCCTGGGTGCTGACAGTCAACACAAAGGTATTGTCAACATGCTTGTAAGTTTCAATCTTTAAATGTGTCGTTTTAGTAAATTACATTAATTTAGTCATTTAGTTTTTTATCCAATTTAGTTTATGTTCGTCAGAAAGGGTTTTTCCTTCTTGGGACAAAACAAAAACCCAGCAATACCTGTACTTGTGTTTTTTTGTTTGTTTTTTTACTAAGAATAGACATGTATTTAAAATACAATTAAAACATGAAACCCATAATTGTGTTGTTAATTATATCAGTGACGTCCTGGCGTCCTCTTGCACTGACAAAAACATGCAAACAAATTAGTGGAGCTGTGCACCATGCAAATGAAATTTGACAAAAAAATTCTTTAAATAAAATTCCAAGCTGAAATGTCAGTGGAAAATACCTTGGCTATGATAGCCTGCAACTTCAATCCCATGGCTCCCCCCTTGGAATGGAAAAGGGCCAACAGTTTGGGAGTGTACTCATCCAGCATGGACATGAATTTGGGTTCAAGGTGTACCAGGGTGATCCTGTAGAACTCATCCTGCAGCTGAACGACAAAAAAACCATGATGCAGCCTCAAATTATTTGAAGTTTGAAAGATTACATTAAAAAAAACCAAAAGCCCACCCAAAATGAATTTGGAACTCACATGAGATGCCTCAAACAATGCTGGCCATCTGGCTTTGATGTCTTCAATGCTGGGGGACAGGTTGACAATTTCATGTCGTCTATGTGCAAATGTTTTAGCCATTTTTTCTTTTATCACTTTGTTGTTGTCTCTTTTCTTGACTTCAGTAAGCAACTGAATTCTCTCTTCTTCTTGACTGTCCTCATCTTCACCTGCTGGATATGGCGGAAGGTAATTTACCTCTGCTTTCCGAGGCTTTTTCACTTTATTTGCAGACTTCTGGTCACCTGGACTCTTGTGTTTCATGGCATTGCATGTCAACTCAGGAACACCAAACCCTCTAAGTTTTGTACGATAATTGGCCATCTTGTATTTGATGCTTTGTTGCCAACCATAATAACCTGAGAAAGAGCCAGGTTCCTTGAGACAAGGGTATTTTGTCACAAGTGCCTCAGCAACATAACTAACCTGTGCACTTGAAGGATAGGCCGTAAATGTAAATATAGTTTCAGCCAACTTCTCAAGAATATCAGTCTTTACTTTGGAGGTGGGCAGAAGATTTCCATTCTTTTATACTCCTCAGTGGCTCTTTCCAGGTACATCTCAGTTTCATATGCAAACTGTGGAATGGGGAACTGTTTCGGCCAGGGCTCACAACGTTCTGTGGTCTTCTTCCTTTTGAGAATAATGGTGTCCTGAGAAGAAGTAGTTGCAGCAGAGTCTGCATTGGATACAACTGACTCAGCATATGAGGAGTCATAGTCAGACAGTTGGCCAGAGGGGCTGCCAAAACTGTCATCAACCGGAGTCAAGCTTATCATGACCGGGGTGATGCCAACAACCTTCACAGTGTCTTTGTCTTTTATCTGGTCAGCTCTGTGAAGAGTGAAGTAGTCCTGGAATTCTGGGTCAAAATACTGAAGACTGAAGTCATTTGAAATCCCAAAAGTATCCTTCACAACACTCTGCAGCTCCTCCAATGTTGGTGGGATCCCTGATGGAAGAACCAACTTCTCGATTTGGTCATCAATAATTACACGAAGCTTTGCCTCCATCTTGTTCAACCTAGAATAAAATGTAAATGGGCAGAGTTAAATTTCCCTTCAATTAAATAAAATTAGTTATTACTTTTCATTTATACAATAGTTGAGATATAAAACTATAAAACAAAAAGCACACTTCAACACACCAAATGTTGCAAATAACAAATACTTGGGAGATGTACATGTTATCAAGTTTTTGTTGTTGTCGTTTTGTTTTTTTTACCTATTATGCACAGCAGATGTAACGTTTCAGGGTTACCAAGCGTTTTCTTCCCACATTGTAAGAAGCCAAGGGCCACATGTCACCAAGTTTCTGCTGCTCCAAAAGACTGATCTTGCCAGTGTCCTCCAGTTGAAAAGATCTCAGATGCTCTACATACCATGCAGCAAGTAACTTCACAATGAAATATACACAATTGTCCAAAACGACTATCTGTATTATCTCAGCAAAGTCTGGTAGTCCACATGTTGAACCATTAGACAGGATCATCCCAGCAGTGTATCTTGTTCCACTGTAGGTGACAGTGGTGGCAAGCTGCACACAAGTCAGAGATGGTGATCTTGCTCTTAAATCTGCCTGTATGTCTGGATGCAGCACATCTACAGGCATTCTGGATATTTTTGTGACAAGCAGGGCAGGTTTCACCTCTTTTGATTGCATGTGGTATGCCATCATCATTTGATGCCTTGTAGAAAGGGTCAGCAACACATTTTTGAAATTGTTAGTGTGTCTCACAACTTGCTTGAAAAATCTGTGTTTCGCCTCAAAGCGCATTGTCCATACTCCAACCAATGGCCCATATTTTTCTATTACAGCAGGGTAGTGCTCCAAAAAATGGTGTTTTGGTGTGAGCCTTTGATCAGGAAAAACTTCCAAATATCTGACACGATGTTCAGATATTTTAAATTCAAGGTAGGCAATACTTTGTGTTGTGTGAACAGGGGCAACCACTAACTCAACAATGTCCTTCAAAGTCAGAAGAAGTTGCCAAACAGGATCATCTTCAGGTACACGTAAACCAACAAGGAGAGGCAACAAACGTATTAGGGCCCAGTTTTCATGAGCATTTCCTCCCACAGTTTTGCGACCAGCAAAATTTGAAGGGATTGCTTGTGGACTGTTCAATTTGTCTGAGCCCTTATATGGAAAACATGTGATTATATTATTCAGTTCAGTCAAACTGAAGTAGTGCTTCTTCAAAAAAACTTGAAAACACAATGCTAACTCTCTTGGCACTATTCCCTCAAAAAGGTCATGAAGGACATCTGGTGGGTATCCAGACACAAAGTGAAAATTATTAAGTTGATCAGTTAATGGACATGACCGCTTTAAGCCAAAATGAGGCACTAAATTTGGATTTTCTTTGACAGCTTGTACGTGTAAATCATAGTCATCCTTTTTTCGAAGTGGGAAGACCCCAGACCGTACTTCATATGTCTGGTACTCTGAAGAATGTCCAAGGCAAAATCTACAAACATATGGCCCGTTAAAACTTTCAACAAGTCCACTAATTGCATGAGCACCAAGGTTATCAGCTACAACACAGTGTAGGGCGCCTTTAATATTTCTCCCTAAACATGAAATAAAAACCCCTCCTGTTCAAGAGTGACAAGATCTTTCAAAAGTGGATCCAATACTACTTTGTATTCAAACTGTTTCACATCAACAGATTTGCAAAGTAAAGCTAGTTGTATTGATGTTAAGGCAGACTGTAATCTCAATGGCAAATTGGCCAAAACCCAATAAACTGCAGTTATTTTATGTTTTTTTCGAGAGGTTCCTAATGGGTTACACACCTCAAATTCATCAACATAAATTATTATAGAGAGTCTTGTTTCTTCTACAGCATAAAAGTCATTGTCCTTAAAACACGTACCATCAAAAATGGACTCAAAATGCCCAGTGCTACTTGAGCACCTCGAAAAGGCTTCCACTGCAATATCTTTGTTCTTCAGTACTTCTTGCAAAGTCTTTAGAACTGGTACATATTGAAAGCTCTTTTTTTGTTCAGCATCAAGAATATATTCAATAGGATCCACAAACTGGAAATGCTCCTTAAAGTACTTATTTCTCTTAAAAGCTGAACCAAGTGGCCCGCCTGCTCCAAGAGCTCTGCTAATGGGATGAGAGCTGCATAACTGTTCAGCCAAGTCCTTTATGATAGTGTGGTCAACTGTGCATTTGTTAGATTTCAGTGCTGAATCAATTATATTTTTAACCGCCTCCACAGATGCTGAAGAAGAAATATAGAAGAGATCTTCAACCAAAGCATTAATGCACCTCACTGAAACATTGTAAGTGCTTTCTAACTTGAGTAGAAGTAAGCCAAGTCCTTGAAGAACAGTACAAGATGCACTTTCTGGATCAACATCACTAGAGCATTCATCACTGTTGAGTTCAGGGACATCAGAATGGTCAGTGTTCTGACTAGGATGACTTTCCAAGACTTCTTTCTTAAAATCAGTTAAGGAACAACATGTATGTCTCCTGCCTTTGTGCTTTAGAAATGTATTGTATATATTTGTGCGAAAGTCACATCCATTAAAAACGCAAAATACAGTTTCGTGTCTCTTCAAGTGATTTCCTATATGCTGAAAATAGTCCTTCTGAGTAGAGCAAAAAGCAGTGCAAGCCAAACACTTAAATGCAGTGATCACTCCAGGCCTTGGACTCTCTTCAGCGGTATGGTATCTGGACAAATGTGTGCGAAGGGCTCCTTGTGTTTTAAATGTGCAAGGACAACTGCCATACAGACATGGCTGGTGCTGTCCACGACCAAATGTTGCGTGTTGCAATCTGTAATGACGTAGAAGATTCCCCTTTGTAGTAGAAAAAGATTTGCATACACTGCCATCCCATTTGCCAGGTCCTAAAGTGATGGAAAAATATATATCTAAGAATCTAAATAGTTTTTCATGACAAATGTAAGAGCATGGGTATCTATACACATTTGATGTTGAGATTATAGAGAAGAAGAAAAAAATCCTACAAATAATAAGCAATTATTTTCTACTTATTGTTTTTACAAAAACAAATAAGTTAGATTAAGTGGGGTCAACTTGGTAATTTCATGCCGCTTCAATTTCAAAACCATTAGTTTAATTTAATATAACATGTTATCACAACTTACTTTATAATGCACAGTCTACATGCTGATCAGATGAATTTAAGTTGAGGGATCTTCCATTACCTGAAAGGAAAGCAACATTATCATTAATCTCAGCCAAACCGATTTACTCACGAACAAATAAAACACTGAAAAAACCCCAACAATAACATTTTTAGGTTGTCTAAGTGACTTATACATTACGTTTAAACTGAGTAGCGAAACCACGCGGTGATCTGAAAATGATGTGCGGGGAGTTGTGCCGTTCTCAGCGGCTTCAGTGACACTCGAGCTCCCGGCTTGCTATCGAGCTGGTGGGTAGCAGATGCTCCGAAAACGTCGAAGCACTTTTGCAAACATGCGATATCTTGATAAACCGAGCAGATATTTGATGTTTACACAGCTACTTTCGCGCCTGAAAATATGTTAAAAGTTTATTTTGTGACCCAGAAAGATTACTAAGAGTAATTTTAAAACTTAGTAGCGGCCGCCATTATTGGAAACTGGAGTTCGAAAAACTGACTGTGGCTGACAAAATCACTCACGACTGACCGCAAAACCTTTTCATGAACTTTTAAACGTGGATGAAAGACGTTAAAACTCATCGGAATATACCGTTGATATTTTTTAATACGGTAAAACATGTGGTTAGTTAAAGCTGTTCAGTAACACAGTCGTGAAGGCTTGGAAAGTGACCTTGTGCTAGCAGTCCACTAACTGCCATTTGTGTAAAAATACGATACTATCATTACAGTGATGATTATTAATAAAATTTCGACGTATCATACTGTTTAAAACCTTTACTCAAAACCGATATACGTTATTGTTTAAACCGTGTCTTATATTTGAACAAATTAAGAAGTCTTACCGCTGACAAAATGGAGACGTCCACTCATGAAGCGCGTGTGTCCTGCACGTGGCACAAAGGATTATGGGCGGAAGTGTACAATGATTAAAATGAAAATGCTTTCATCAGTTAAATCTATTAGATTTCTTAAATTTTTTTTAGTACTCAAACATTTTTTTAAAATCTACTCAACAAACCATTGCTGAATTTACCCCAAACAAAACTGTGTAAATTTAAATAACTGAACATCTCAAAATTGTTGAATTTTGCTTAGATTTGATTAAAACTACTCATACACGTTTTTACTGAGTAATAATTACTATTACTCTCCTATTAGATTCTAATTAACCCCAATCACAGTTTTTACAGTGTGGCTTTATGGTGTTTGTATTATTGCAGACTAATAGAGATAAAATACAAACAATGGTTGGTATTATTTTCCATGAAGTCTTCGACTTCCTCCCATAGTCCAAAGACACTTAGACTAAGATATCCATAGGTGTGAATGTGAATGGGAATGGCTGTCTGTCTCTCTGTGTTAG